TGTCACACTTATTTTTGGGACAAAACAGGACAGACCAGGCACATACTGCTGCTGTACCACAATAACTGACAGCAGTATCTGGTAGGCCAGTATTTCTCTGAGGTTCTTTTCATACCCAGCAAGACACTAGAGTTTTTCTGGTCTATTGTGACACTGTCATTATGAGTAAAAGGAATCTGTTACTGTCACTACTGCTCCCTTCTGGGCACTTCTGCTAAAAGCACTGAAAACTCCTCTCTGAAAAATTAAAAGCAACAACTACTAAAATCCCAACTGCCTCACACTAGACGGCATGTAAAAAAAAATGAATGACCAGTACAGACAGACCGCACATGCCTCTGGTCCTGAAATAACAATGAATTGCAAAATACAGTGCAGTAGGAACTATATTTAGGCTGCATAGAGAACCAGATTAAGAGCCCATTGTTGGAGAAATCAGAGAGATTTCTCGCATTATGAAAGCGAGCAAGATTTGGCCTTTCGCTCTTCTGGTGCTTTTGTTGGAAAGACCTAGGAAATTTAGCCAAAACCCATCTTTCATGCTTTTGGAAGCAGAGCTCAATGATACAGGATTTGGGGGAAAAAACAGCAGATACTCTTCTATGAGTCTAAACATTTGCGTGTAAATTATACTAGGAAAACAATACCACAAATCTCACCATTCATTCTTTCTCCATCAAACCACTAACCTAGACTGAGGTCCATTTAATTTGCAAATCCTTGAAGACCACAGGAAAGTAACATTTATTACACCATTTGAATGTATGAAAGTACTTTGAGGCCCCACCTATTCAGTGAAAGGCATTCTAACCCCTACGCCCTCTGGAGATGTCCTTAATGTACGCAGGAGGTGAGCAGAAGACTACATCTCCAGCTGGAAGAGCAGAATCATTCCCATCCATCTGTACCAGGTGGATAGTTTAGAATTCTGTGCATTTCTTAGCTAGAAAGGGATGGGTAGCCTAGATATAAAAGTGCTGGATGATTCCTGGAAGATGAGTGGTATCTACTGTGTAAAGTTTAACAGAAACAATCAGCATGGAACTAAGTCCCTGTGTAATAATATTCCTATCTGCCTGTGACCTTACATTACACCTCAGCAGCCTTGTGAGAAATGCCCAAACTATTTTGAAATCCTCAGTTGGAATCCTTAATGTTGCTCTAGCATCTTTTCCATCTATTTCCTCTTAGGTGCACATACTTCGTCCCTTGCACATATTTCCATGAAAGCTACAAATTGGGATATCTTAGAACCTGTATGTTTTGGACCATACAGTTAATGAAGGGAAACCTGTCAAAACAGTAGAAGGAAACATTTCAACAGTGGCAACTTTTCCCTCATTGGTCTTTCCCAGAGGACTATCAGTGAATTGGTAGCATTTTAAAGGCTGTATTAGTATCACATTTTTTAAACAAAGATTGCTGAAATATTTGAGGGGACAAATAATGAATTTGAAGATGGAACAAGAAAAGAGACTGCAAGAAACATTAAAAATAAGACTTTCCAAACAGATGATATTCTCTACAGTACACTTCTTTTCCCCAGGCCTCTGGGAATGGGTTTGCTTTCAAGAACTTTCTCTTTTTTGCCTTTTGGAATTCCTCTGTCATGACCAAGTCAAATCCCTAGTTTTTCCCCTTGATAAAGGGGCTAATTAAAGGCTTCTGTAGGACTAAGAAAAGTTGTCACTATTGCAGATAGGCTTTTGGAGACAGCTTTGACCATGCAACTATGAAATACTGCACCTGTGCAGCCACAGCATCAGAGCTTTGCTCATACACCAGTGGAAGAAACACACTGTCACTGGCACAGAGACAGCAGACCTAAAACTCCTCTCCATAAATCTCCTACTGGTTTGATCCTCTTAGGTGCCCTGCAGACCAGTGCTAGATACATGTACTAAGACAAGAGGGTCATTTTTACACTTCTAGTATATTCTACATTGGTCCTTTATTATACATCCATCACTTGCTTCCATACCAAATAGATGTTGACCCTCTGTATATCCAATAATGGCAAATATGATTGTGATCCCTTGTTCTCACTAAGGGGGACTGTTAATAAAAAGGAACACTGCCAGAAGTTAATGGTGTCCTGCTGCTAAATATGTGCTGAGGCAAACATAAGGCATTTACTGAGGATAAACCATTAAGCTGCAGTCAAGGCACATTACCCTGGGACCTATGCTTTCACTTCATTTATTTTTGACATGGTACAATAGGAATGGCAGCTACTTATACCACAGCAGCACTGTGAACCCTAATCCATTAAACGTCTAGTAAAGAACTTGAGACCCTCAGAGGGAAGGTTGCTATCAAAGGTCAGAGGAGGATCATCACCAGCACTGTAAATATATTAAAATAGGATGATACACACTGGAGCAGTAGAGTGATGGGCCCAAAGCTGTAAGACACATCTTTAAAGATTTAGAGAATATCCAGGTTCTGTGCTTTAAACAACCACAAAGTGCTTATGTCAGAAAAGGACAATTAGTTGGAGGGCACTGGACTGGGAATCAAGAGACAGTGACCTAGTGGGTGAGCTTGGGCCAATCATTCCAGCATCTGCCATCTCATTTTCTGCATTTGTAAAGTGCTTTGAAATCTTCTGATGGGAGAAGCTAGGTATTGTTTTTAGGCAAAGAGAGAAAATAAAGCTTACAGCCAGCCATAAAGCACTCCTTCCTCTGCCACATACCATCTACCACAGACTTGCCAATGAAATCCTGATGAACATAATAACTAAGCCACAGCAATAGCTCACACTGAAAGCATTTCAAACTCCGACCGATCACTGGCTAGTAAATGCGTATGATAACAAACAATCTGGGTTTTCTATGTAGCAAAGCTCTAAGCTCCAGAGCTTTTATTTGTCATGAGAACCTTAACATTCAGTAAAAAATAAAAAATCCTTGAAGCTTGTTGGTGACTGGATGTGGCTTCCTTTAGGGCATGAACAAGTCTAGGAAATACTTTGTGTGCACATACTTCAAACTGACATGCTTGATCTTGCCTATGTGGTTACATATTATTTGCTAATCTTGGATCTGATCTCTCCCTCTCTCTCTGACACACGCATATACATACGCTCCAGAGGTAACAGGATTAGGCTCGCTGTCATATTATTCCTGTGCTGTCAGAGCTGACAAGTCTATTCAGTGCAGAAAAAACAGAAGAAAAAGCCTTAATCTTAACGTGTAAAATTTAACCACTCTGCAAACCAACATAGTCCGGCACATTGTTTTAAACAAACAAATGCTTACATTCTCCTCACAGAGGCAATGCAGTACCAGTTACCTGTTGTCTACTGACTGGTGGTCAGATAACTAAACAGGCTTAATTACATGAGGTCACCCAACCAGTAGTTGTACTGACAATACATGTGAGAAGACTCAAACAGACACCTTCATGGTCCTTAGGCAGGAGGGAAGCCAAAAGGAATCTGCTGCCAATACCAATGGGCCATGCTAGTCCTAGCTATAAGTCACGGTCTGCCTGTCTGACCATGGCTTAAGAACTTTAAGAGAAGAGCTATTATTATTCCCTTTTTACACACTGGGAAACAGAAACACAGCTAAGCAAAGCAAATTTGCCCAGGAGCACACAAATCCCACAGCCAAAGCCCTCCCCGCCCCCCGCTAAACGCTGCTCAAGTCCCACAAATGCAGGCTGGACCAGTGGTTCTACAGGCTGGATACAGTCCATAGGCTATAGGTTGCTGACTCCTGTACTAGGTCTCTAATCCAACCTTTCTGTATGATCTGTTCCCAATATTCTGCACAAGTCACTGCCTCTGGGATTGGTGTTGCCAGATCTTGTGGGGTGCATTGTGGTGCTACAGGGCATCTCAGGAGATGATCCATAGTTTTTCCTGACAAACACATTGGTCGGTTGCGTAGAGGCCCCATGATTTCATGAGAAAGTTGCATCTGTCAAGACCCACTTTCAATCTGTTTGGGCTACGCCATGTGTGCCATTTGTAGTTGAAGGTGGATGCTAACTCCTCACGGGTGGTAATTCCTCGCCCACAGGCAATTTGTAGGGTGGGTCCGGGGGTGGGGGAAGAGAGGGGCATGTGCCCCCCTGAGATAGCCTGCTTCTGCAGGCAGTCGTCGCTCACCACCCTACTGCTGCGGCCCACAAATTGTGCCCCCCCCCCCCCC